TGGATTCAGTTGTTTTTATCAGGATGCTTATTTTTAGGTAATTAAACCCTGCCTAGATCTTTATGGTTTATGCCTGCAGAATAATAATTCTACCTAATACTGTAGCCTAATATTTTGTCCATTCACAGTCTTCGAATCTTTTCCATTGCTGCTGTCATCTGCGTCTTTATAGTGCTTCCGGTGAATTATCATGGGCAAACGAAGGATCACCCGGGAATCCATGATGAATCCTTGGAAGTCTTTACCATCTTGAACGTTCAAGAAGGTTCAAAGTGGTATGAGACATATATTCTTGATTATTAAAACACTTTCTTAAAAATTGTATCTTTTATGAAAGTGCAGAGCAAGTCCTGTTAATCCGCCTTTTCTTCTGTTTTTTTCTCAATCTTTATGAAGTTTCAATATTGATTTAACTTTTTCTCGTTATATACACCAGGAAACTAGTTTCTAATTGGTCATTTGCTTTCTGTTTTAATTCATGTCAGGCTTTGGACCCATTGTCTCGCATTGTACATTATCACTACTTCAGCTTGTATTCTCCTATACTTTGTAAGGATTTAAAACCCATCTCCTCTTGTACAATATTCTATATATTGTAAAATGTTCTTGATCTTTGCATTTAGTTCATACAACTATAAACATCCGAAGACATTCGTTTTGTGTTTTTGTTGTGGATCTTCTGTAGGAATATAATCACGTCACTAGACTGAGGCTGGCATATATTATTGGATCTTCTTCAAATCCAAGTCATTTTACAATTGTTGTTCGTGCTATTCCATGGTCACCGGAAGAATCATATAGTGATTCAGTAAGAAAATTCTTCACAAAATATCATGCATCAAGCTACTTGTCACACCAAATGGTGTATCGATCTGGTAAAGTTCAGAAACTGATGGTATGTATGTGGCTTGAATTATTTCATCTGTTTCCTGAGCAATCACATTGTTTTATCATTGGCTTATATTGTCATAACTGTTAGCATGAGCTGCACTTAGACCAATATGTGGTTTAAGATAGCCATATAAACTATGTGATGGGTTTCTTTAAGAATTGAATATAGGATCACTGGGTTTTTCCTCCACTCATATGCATCTGTTCAATTATGTCCCATATATTTTTTAATGCAACTTATTGATATATCAAACTTTGCAGACCGATGCAGGGAAGATGTGCAAGATTCTTAAGGATGTTTCTGTGGAACAGAGTCATAGACCAGATCTATTTCACTGTGGTATGTCTGGAGGAGCTACTGATTCTTTTAAGATACTCGCGAACGATTCAGAGAGTGTTAAGGGGAAGTCATCCCTTATCGACAATAGTTTGGGTGGAAGAAAAAAGGTCATGCAAGCTGTGGCCCCAGTTAATTTAATTAGCTCTGGTTTTCATCACGTATTCACACACAACTAGTGATATGTATGGCTTTAATCTTTCGAATCTGATTTGGTTCTTTTAGAATGGTTTTCCGACTATGGAGTTCTTGAAAATTTTGTCAGCAGGGGTTAATTACACTAAAGCCCCCTGACGTTTATCGAGTTTTCACAAAACCCCCTCATGTTTGAGACATTACACTAACATCCCTTGAGGTTTTAATTCACTTACACATAACCCCTTTGAGCCAAATTTTACCTAAGTGTTCCTAGTATCGTCATGTATTCTTGCTTCAGTTGCCTCCAGGTTTTGTTAGACAGTTGGTCAAGTATTATTGTGGTGGTTATAAAACCTTAAGCCGAAAGTTGGACTTGAAATGTTTGGAATAGAATTGTGTTTGGCGTGATTAACTTGTTTAGGCTCCTTTAGTTTTTATTTTGGATTTTTTTTTTTCAGTTTTCAGTTTTATATTGGATGTTTCCTTATTTAGTTACTATAGTTTGAATAAAAGAAAAGTAGAAATAAAAGTTGTTGAATGGTTAAGTAATAATTATATCTGTGTGTATGTATGTATTTATGTTAGTTAATATGTATATTTTAAAATAAAAACATACATGCACACAAGTACACATGTCCATCCATTCTTCCCATGATCAGCCCATTTATCTGTAGGAAATTATGAACCTCAATCTGCAGAGTACTAGCTCGTAAACAAAAAATCCCACATGGCAGTGTCAAAGACATGAATCTTGAGTAGTCTCTTCCTGTAATGAGTGACATTTTTGTTTTGTGGTTCTGTTACTTTGACTTTGTTGCCATCATTTAGATATAAGTTGATGTCTATGAGTGAGTGAACTTTTGTGGAAATTTCGATATTATAGCCTAAAATGTATTTGGTCTTACATACAGGTGTGTGCTGCTGCTTTTGTCTTTTTCAAGACTCGCTGTGCTGCTCTTGTTACATCAAAGGTTCTTCATTCTTCAAATCCCATGCATTGGGTGACAGATATGGCCCCGGAACCAAATGATGTGTATTGGTCAAACCTTTGGATACCATATGGACAACTGTGGATCCGGAAGTTAGCTACGCTTCTGGCTACTATTGCCTTTATGCTTGTGTTTCTTATTCCTGTCACATTTGTTCAGGGCATGACTGCACTAAAAAGCCTAGAAAAAAAGTTTCCAGCTTTGAAAGGATTGCTCAAAAAGTAAGTCAATTGACAGACACAGTCTCCTTGTTACCTTAATTTTTTTGTTATGCTGTGTATGATGGATAATAAACATGGACTTTCTGAGTGTACGGGGATAAAGTTTTGCAATGGCTTTGACTCATTTTCATGATTACTTATGCGCATATGCAGGAACTATGTAAGCCAGGTGATAACGGGGTACCTGCCAAGTGTGGTTTTAATTGTGGCTTTTTACATCGTTCCACCTGTCATGATGCTGTTTTCAACAGTGGAGGGGTGGATCTCTCGCAGTCAGAGGAAAAAGAGTGCATGCTTCAAAGTCTTATACTTCACAATCTGGAATGTCTTTTTTGTTAATGTTTTTACCGGCTCTGTTATCAGCCAATTGAGTGTATTTTCTAGTGTGAAAGACATACCTGCGCAACTTGCCAACGCGATTCCAGCACAGGTGATATGCCCTTGATCTTTAAATATGTTTAGAAGATCAATAGTTGTGTTCCAGTTATGCTAGTCCATTTGGACTGTTACATCACTTACGTGTGACCACTGTTTTTCCTTGTCATGTTTGAAACGGGTTATTTTGCAATTGAGATGGGTCAAGTCCACTACTAGTACTCATAGATATTAAATTGTCCATTAGAAATTGTCTACTCATTTTTAGTTCGAATTCCAGATGGTCATAATGGTTAACATAGTGACTTAGAGTTTTGTGAGTGATAATTGTTTCGACTTTCGAGACATTACATCAGTAATGTGATGCTTATGAAAGCTGAAAGCTTTATTATTGATTTTTATTTATGGTTGTGATCTTGAATTTTCAGGCTAAGTTCTTCATGACTTATGTTTTATCATCTGGTTGGGCAAGCTTGGCATGTGAACTCATGCAAATTTATCCTCTTCTCTGCAACTATTTCCGACGGTTCATATTACGGAAAGGACGGTATAATGACTCACTGTCATTTCCATATCATACAGAAATTCCTAGAGTCCTGCTGTTTGGGTTCATCGGCTTCACCTGTTCTATCTTGGTTCCCCTAATATTGCCATTCTTGTTGGTTTACTTTGTACTTGCTTACTTTATATATCGAAACCAGGTGAGGACTCCTCCTATCTATTGTTCCTTATTTTGTTAGGTATCTTTCGGGGAGAAGAACTACCCTGCAACGGGGATCCCACTGTAGTATCCCCGTTGTAGGTAAGTTCCTCTCTCATTCTGGCCATCATTATTCTCTTTTTCTTTCTTTTTTCTTTTTTTTGGGGGGGACATTCGAATAATTAATCTGTTGCTAAACTTTACGATGCCTATTTCAGATTCTTAATGTGTATATAGCAGAATACGAAAGTGGGGGACAGTACTGGCCTATGATTCACAATACAGTCATAATTTCATTGGTTATCATGCAAATAATTGCCCTCGGTGTCTTTGGATTAAGAAAATCACCAATTGCATCAGGTTTCACTATTCCACTGCTTATCTTCACTATTTTGTTTAACGAGTACTGTCGACAGCAGTTTCATCCATTGTTCAAGAACCAAGTTGCAGAGGTAGTGATTGAAAATGAACTGTATTTGCGCGCGTGCACGTGCGTGTGCATGTATGTGGTATTTGAGACCATGCCTCTCTATCTCCAAAACTTGATGAGGGGATTGTTTGCAGATTCTTATTGATATGGACCAGAAGGATGAGGAAGCGGGGAGGATGGAAGAGGTTTATCAACAGCTGCATACAGCTTACTGCCAGTCCCCATTAACTCCTGATGACTCGTGCAGTTTTGGATGCTCAACTCGCCATGTGGGCGCCATCATTCCGGATCCAGAGAATGTCAAGCCACCAGGTTTGATTCATCCAGTACTCACGAGGGTTCCTGTTCCTGTGCGCGGCATCAGTGATGTAATCGCTTGGTTCTTTGTGCTTTTCTCTTTTCAGGGGAGGAACCCAGCCAAACTAATCCGTCATGGAATGTCACCTTCGACGGTGAGGCAGATCTAAAATGAGCTTTCTTCTAGGACGTAATTGACTTGTTTTTTATGCAAGTTCAAGTTTATGGTGCCGGCTGGAACGAGATTCTTGCATCTTAAGAAGCAGGTTCTCTTCTTGGCCAGAAATACCATCGGAAGCGTTGTACAGATACTGATACATACAAGCAAACATTTTACAAAATTCCGAGCTCCATAGGCCTTCTTTAATTTTGTTTACTGGACTTCCCAATTTATACAGTTTTGAGTGGGGAAAAATCCCAAAGCAAAGCAACACTATTTTTTGTACACTTGTGATTTGAGCAAAGCAAATAGTTGTGTATATTGTTTGTATCTTAAACTAAATGTATCAAAAACAGTTGAAAAGTTTTACGATATGTTGATGCAAAGTTCGATTATTTCATTCTCCAAGCACATTTTGAATTGCATAGATACTCAACTCATACGACCACGAAAACGGATCAGTTTCTGCAAACAACGCGGATCAAAACTGGTAAAGTATGCACAAATAAAACTGGTTACAAACGTTTAACCAAAAACGTAACTGAAAAACGCTAAACAGACATTGAGTCGTATTAAGATTTCACATCCATGACCAATGAAGAATTGGAATCATCGACACCATCATCTTCTCTTTCCTTGAACAAACCTCTCCACAGCCATAAAACTTGCAGGAACCCGCCATTTGCAACGTGCAGAAGAAACACCCGTGCCTGCATTGGGAGACCAGCAGAGACGAACTTAACAGCAGCAAAAAAGCAGCTTATACCAAGTAAGTGCTTTTCAATCTCATTGGCATTCGCCTCCGACCTGGGAAGCACTTGCTGCAACGTCTCCTTCAAAACATCAGTTAAGAAGCACCCAACAAAGAGACCAAATGGTATCACCAATTCATAGTTTCTGGAGATGGAAAATATGATGTCTGATAAGAAGCTGAGGGTGCCAAAAGTAACAAATGACCATATGAGTGCTTTTTTCCCAAGCAGAAGCAGCTGCTCCAGTGCTGTATCTGCTGCTTTTCTCCATGGGAGCTCCTTCACCGGGGCAGGTACGGCTTCCCACAGCTTCTCCTTCACGAAAGTGCTTTTGATTTGCAGCTTCCGCTTATTTTCTTTGTTGGGTTCTCCAAATTGTGCCGTGGATGAAACTGCTTTTACACGACTTGGCGGGAAGCTGGTTCGAAATCGAAATTGGTTCTGCTTAAAGAGATTAATCTGAAATAAACAAGGAAAATTGGAATCAATCATAATTAATTCATCGAAAACCTGTAAATTTCACATTTTTAAGTAATCGGGAATTTGGGAAAGTGAGAGAGTGGTACCGAAAATTTGGGGGTTGCGGACGGCGGCGACAGAATGGACGCCGGAATCGCCATTGATGGTGTCTGGTTGGTCCTGTTTTATCTCCTGAGTTTTCTCCTCATTTTCTAGGGTTCATCAGCTGATGACAAGTTTGGGGATTCCAATGTCCCAATGTTCTTAACCTAAATTGGGCTCAACACAAATATACTGGGCCTTATCTAAAATATTATTATGGGCCTTATTCTGAGTCACACAGCTTGTTTTAGGTGGGAAACAATTTTGTCCATAAACGCTTTTGTTAGAAGTTTATATTCGAAAAATGTTTGAAACTTTTGTATGAAAGCTTCAAAGTGTTTTCTGAACAAGCATATGCTACGTGCTTCTCCTGTTATTGCTTCTACTACCCGCAAACATTTTCAAGTTTATTTTCTCAAACGTAGTTAGAAGTATCTTAATTGCCAGAAGCCGTTTTTAACATTTTAAAAGCAAACCCAAATATTGCTACATGTAGACTAGAGGTTGCCATGTTCCCCTAGCCTCCATGGGCTCTATGTAATTGGTTTATAAAATTCTAAAATTCATGTAAAATTATATTAGAAAGGGGATATTGGCACTTCAAAAAAATCATTATGTACTCTTTATAAATGTATCTTTGTATCTAAATATACAAAAAAAATTATTAAGCTAACTTTTGAAAAATAAAATTGCACAATAACTTTTTTGGGGTGCCCCAAAATTCTTAATGCCAACTCAATAATATAGATCAACGGTATACAAGGGCAGACGACTGTTACTAGTACAAATCAATTTTGTGTGCGTACAATTGAAAGACAAATAAAATTATACGAAATATTAAGAGTAATATTAAGGAGATCAAATTAGTGCACTCAATGATATGTTATTGGACGAATAGATCTTCAATAGGCATGTGTTATTTTTAATGAGGATCCTCTGTTTTTTTTTTTCTTGTGTATGGAAGTGGATAAAAGATATAGAATCAATTATAGCCATGGTCCCTTAACTTTAACTCAATTAAAGCAATAGTCATTCAACTAAAAATCCATTACTATTGGTCCTTCAACTCATCAAAACATGCAGTTATGGTCCATCAACTAAAAATCCATTAACTTTAGTCCCTCAATTTTAATTCAACTAGAGAAATGGTCCCTTAACTATAACCCAATTGTAGCAATGGTCATTCCAACATAACTCGTTTTGACAAAAATTTTGACGTAGTTGACGAAAATGACCATAATTACACACTTTGATAAGTTGAAGGACCCTAATTATATAAATGGTTATTCCAACATAACTTATTTTGACAAAATTTTGAAGAAATTGATGAAAAGGATTATAGCTACACATTTTGATAAGTTGAGGGACCAATGGTAATGAATTTTTAATTGAAGGACCATTGCTCCAATTTGATTAAAGTTCAGGGACCATTGCTACAATTTACTCAAAGATATATAGCCTAACATCATATTTCAACATTTGTAACATTTAACTGCCATCAAACACAACTATTATGGGGTGGTTCATTGTGGGAAACGAATTTCACATGACACATCCTGAGTTCGATTCCTGGTGCTAATGAATCACATCATAGTGACACAGAGGAGACTAAAATACCTCTATGAGCTTTCTCGACAGAAAGATTGCTGTGACGAAGACACCAATTAATCCCTTAAAAAAAAAAAAACTGTCATCAAACGCATAAGCATTAAGCCAAGACCAAAATCCAAAAGCAAAAATAATAAACAAAACCCTAGGCGGACAAGTGAATTGTATATTATAAGAACTATCATATCCTCTCCTTATACCATTTTGAAACCCTAAAGCAATCAAATTAACACAACCCTAGGCGGCTCTATCTTAATTCTAAATCCTTCACCTCGTAAATGGTACATAATTTTGAATATGACATCCAATGCTGCAGTACTATAGCTCTGCAGTCGTTTTAGCCTATATAATTCTCTAATAAATTCCTTTTTTTTTTATTCACATAAATGCTAAGAGGATTCTTTTAATGTGAGACATTTTATGAATTTTCTGCTACTCTACAATTTAACGTCAATTATTGTGTTAATATTATATAAAAAATTGTGCTAAAAATATGGAGTGACAGAATGTTTACGGAGAACCCCACTTTTAAAAGAATTCTTAGTATTTCCCTTCTGTTTTTTATATACAAACCCACTTTATTTTGGTCCAACAGCTGAACAGCACGACAAACATGCAAGAATTTTCATGTTAGTGAGTGTCATTATCATTCTATAATATTCAAAATTAATCAATTATAATATCTCTTGCAGATTATTAATTATGAATTAAGGATCAATGTTTAGATTTAAATATCCAGTGGGGGGTTGATTAGGGTTGATTTAATTGATTAAACAATTAAAAGGCAGTGACACAAGTCGTCCTTTTGCTATTGTCACTTCTATGCTTCTATCACATATTCGTAATATAACATGTTTAATTAATTTTGTGGTGTTTATTATCGTCACCAAGTTGACGGGAATTTATATGGCAATCCACAAGAAGTCAAATTTTGAGATGTTGGTTTTTCTTTGAGGACTTTTCTGTTCTGTTTCTTCTTTGTTTGGGATATTCCCTTAAACTTTACAGAAAGAAATTAGATGAATAATTAGGGATTGTTTTAAAATTGTATAAGCCCTCAGAACTGTTAATGTCTCCTTAATTTGCTTGCTGGAGTTTGTGTATGTCCGCTTTATGTATGCTTATAATTCCAGTATATACTATACTATACTGAAAGCCCGACAGACTGTATATCTTATGGGATATGTTTTACCTAGATATCCCACTTATGAGCTTACATTATTCTAAAAAATAAACTAATTAATCGCTCATTATTTTACATTTAATTTTTTTATAAAAAAAATTATTATATGGTATTGAAACACAATTGTATAGTATATTTTATCTAGATGTTATAATATGAGTTGAGCAACTTTTTATTTTTTTTTTAAATTTATTTTTAAAGAGAGACAACTGGTGGCAAGCTACAGTTATACAGTCATTCCGGAAGCCGGGAAGACTTACAGAGGCATTTCAGCCTCCCCCTTGCCACAAGTTTGGCTTCCACACCGGCAGTGAGTTTCGAACCTAAGATCTCCAGTTTTTAGTTTTGAGAAAATCTCGTAATCCGTCCTTGTTTACTTTATACTTTATGATGTAATACTCCTATTATATAGATGCATGAATTGGTTACCTTTTAAAACCGTAATTTTTTGGATAGGTAATGTGAGGTAAATCAAATTTTTACACCAAATTTACAAATCATATGATATGTAACTAATAGAAAATAAGCATCACTACTTATGTAATAATCTAATCGTCAATAACCACTTCATATAGTCTAACAAATTTGGTCTTAAAATTTGTCTTTCTTAGCATACCCTGGGTGGGATATATGTCCTTTCAAATATTGACCTAGGCAACTATATGAAAATGCTAGTGGAATCAACTTAATTAAGAACTTTTTTTTTTTAACTTTGAATTTAAGAGTTGGTCAAGATAATGGGGCCAACTATTTTAAATCGCTAGCTTGTAGAGGCAGTTGCCACCAGTTTCAAAATATGTCAACCAATTCTAACAAATCGTGAACATGGCGTACCAAACATTAATTGCAAAATTTGCATGTCAACAGAAAGTAAATATTTTAATCCAAAGATTGCAAATTACAACTGCAATCAACTTTTACCCCTTGTAGCTTTCAGCCAAGACCTAAGAGATAATTTGAGTCTATATATGTGAGAATGTAATTCTTTGACCTTCCTGGCCAGAGCTACGTACATATAAGCTGACTACATAAGTAAACAAATACGATTAGGGAGACCATATTTTTAAACCAAATTTTCAAACCAAATAATGTGTCACCAATAAGAAATAAGCACATTAATCAATGTTTAAGTAATAATCCAATGATCAACCACCATATCATTTTGATTTAATTACAAGTTTGGTTTAGAAGTTTTGGTCTCCATAACATTACCCTGAGTAAAGGCCATTTCAATTATGTTAGGCATAGCTAGATAGATGTTGTGTTAGATTTAAGGATTCTAAGCATGTAGTCGACTGCCTTAGTGGTTAGGGTTTTTGTATTATTTTCAATGCACCCAGGTTTGAATCCTCCTTCATCTCCTTATAGTGTCGTTTAGATTAAAACTCTCGCTTGCAATAAAAAAAAGAGACTTAAATATTCTAATTTATGAAATGAGATCCATCGATGAATAATAATTAATTTTATATGACCATGCAAAAGAACCCTACCCTAGGTTTGAGTCTTACAGGGAGAAGACTGCTAAACTACATGTTATTCATGATATCTAGCTACCTAGAATTTGTATAAATGATCATCGAATTAATCCGATTCTAAATTTTGTATGAATATAGTTAAGCTGGAACTAATTAATAAATCAATGTGGTAGTTAAACAATAAGCTAATTGACGAAGACCAAAATTAAGCAACTTATTCATTTAATTAACATCTGCCAGCTGCTTTGTTGATCTAGAAGAAACTACCGTTACTGATATTGACTGTTTCGACTGATGAATTGATAGTTATTGCATACCATATATCATTGGAGCTTGTTAGGTAACAATCGATATCGACAGCTTACTGATACATGGCATTTCAAAATTTAAAGTACTCAAAAAAGACCAATGTCATATATGAGCCTTTGTTATTTCATCCTCTTTTATATGTAACTCATATATAAATATGCACATATATCAGATTATGTGGAATTTAAAGCTCACTCAGAAGTTTCCTTTGTTTTCTGCAATTTCCGTGGAAGTTTTTGTTTACACAAAGGGTTTCGAACCCTGTATCTCTAGTCTACTCGTAGTCTCCTACTCAATACCCTACCCACTCTCATCACCGGACGAATCCCAGTATAGTCACAGTAAAAAGATTATTAAAAAAACCAACGGCATTGCTTTGCCTAGCTAGCAGCATAACAAAAACTTTGCCCAAGCTATCTATGGATGTATATATTCATATGTAAGCAGCAGATGAATTGTTTTTCTGTACCTTTCGGAAGAAGATAATGAATTGTTCTCTAGATCTCAGTCAACATTGTTGGCTATATTTATATACATTTTCATTTTGTGTATCTAGTTATGGCTGAGTATTGCATGCACTTATATATTGGG